GATTAATGGACATACATGTCAGTTGGGTATTTTAAAAATCGAGTAGTCAAGGGTTCTCGACACTGATTACATAGGCAACCGAGACTCAGAGTCACACGTTTAGGTGGCACATGCATTTACAAAATGTATTTACACGTTATTTCTTCCGTATTGCGTGTGATTTTAGGGAGAGCTGTGACGTTTTAATATCGATTATTTTAGTTCTGTGTAAAAAACTGTTGTAATGAATTAGCATTACCATGTGGTTAAGATATTTTATTTACATTGAAAACTCTATTATCATAATCAAACAATCTTTTTCCAGAAAATATATATTCACAAAAATATAACTAAAAAAATGAAGTTTAAAAATAAATTATGTTATCTAGTGAAGTAATGTGATGGTTTGAATTATATTTAGGTTGCTAGAATTCAATCGGATTTCAAGAAGAATGGGCCTGGTCTGATCTGCATGTTATGTCCATTTCTGAGTCAGCAAATGACCGTTGCGATCGCCTTTTAAAATAATTCATAGTTTATATATGCATATAGTGTTGTAAAGCGTGGCTGTCACATGACATAATTGATGTACCTTTTCTTGTTTTAACATGTTACCTTTGGATGTTTGTCCAATATCAGTAACGGACACAACTAGAGATTGTCTTGGATCTTCAGTATAATTTGTAAGCAAATATGTTATTGTAGTCACGTTATTTTCTGGTCTACCGATATTGGTTGGCTGTTAAACCGGCTGGTGACAACTTTCTACTGATGTTTGCGTAATTTATGTTCTAAGTTTGTGATTTCAAAATCTTTATGGTTTTGTTTTAAATTTCTTGCAAGGTCAATTATTATCTACCATACACGCTGAGAGGATTATACTGCTTTCAGAAATCTTGTAGTTTTTGTACCGGTACAAGCCTTTCTCTTATACATGTGCCTTTGTAACTTTTACGGTGCGCTAGGTTTTCCCAGCCTCGATCTGGTTCTCTATGGAAGCACGTCTACCAACGTTGCACCCAATAGAACCCAGTTTGGTTATCAGCTATTACAATTGGTGCATGCCTTATATGTTATGATGAAAGGCGATGCAGTGCTATTATATAGACACCCAACAGTATATTTATAACCAAATAGTGTAGGATAATATCTCTGTATACACCTGATATGTTTGACTTAAAATCTTAAACAATAATTGTATACGATCCATGAACACGTCTGGAATATTTTCGTGATCGACCAGCTGAAGCGTCGAGACCTTTGATATAAAAAGATTGCAAGATTTAATTTCAAAATAACTTTTGGAACAAAACTGAATAACATTCGTCAACATGTTTTGGTGACATTGTTATGAAAAGCTGAGTATTTCTTTTCATTTAAATCCAAAATAACCGATACTTAAATTTCCGAAAAAAGTCCATCTAGCAAGGTTGACCATTAATATCCACGCATATTGACCAAAGTTCTGCTTTCCATGGGGCGTGGTCTATCGTCACTACTGTGTCCCCCACGTCGCGTCGTCTGTTGGGGTCTTTGTTACGTGCACGGCGCGAACAGATTGTTTATCGAAGGACCTCCACCCGTCTACGCTATCACTGCGATAGATAGTTTGCAGGGGGGCATGTCTTTGTGTCCTAGTGCCAAACCTCTACGTTTAGCCGTGTCGTATGCTCGAGAGGTCTTTCAAAGTTTGTACACAGAACTTTAATTCAATTCAATTGGCGTGTGTTTAACACTGTTTCTGACAGAGCAATGCCTCGCATACTATTGTCCCTATACTCTGTACGAACACACTCCATTCAGATATTCAATACATGTGAATCTCTAGTAGAAGAAAAAACCAGGTGGGTCTGATTTAAAATAAAGCACCCCCTACAGTATATTAATGCATATCGAATTGGGGAGATGGATAAACAGCGACCTTGAGTGAATAGCTGTATAGTTCTAGACGATCCTGGGGAGCTCCCCACGAACCATGGCTAGATGGATAGGATAGACGTAGTACAACTACTTAGGACCAGTTCGTCAGTCAGTACCAGACCATCCGCCGGACGTGGACGTTTTGTCCGACAATGCAAATGTTGTGGATGGACACTTCACGATTCCACAGTCCTCGGAAGAGGGAACGCCGAGCACGTCGTGAGAAGGGACATGCTCTGCGAGAGCATTTAGACTCCATCAGTAAGGTTCACTTCCGTTAGACGTGTCTGTGTTTATGCCAGTGATTTATTGGTTCTGGTGAATTTAAGGATATAAGAAAAATCAAAATCAACAGATGTTGTTTTTGCCTAAATTCTATGTGGATGGAGAAAGTGTAATCGTGTTTGTGGTTCGGATTGTTATCTGTTGTTGGAAGTCACGGTCGTGTTTGTGAGATAAGTATAACGCAATTTTAAGTATATCAGTACCTAATTAATTTGTTTAATGACTGGTTGAATAAGAAATGCTTTTTCTATTTTGTGATTACTGTAATCTATTCTAAAACATTCACTTTCAAATATTTCTACAATGTTGAATTACGCCCATTGTATTACATGAAAAAAATATTTAGAAATCAACGTTCTCATTTTGAGGTATTTTTAAATGTCGTATAAAACTAAAAACAAGTCATATTGACTGACGTTAATAAGATGATAAATCGCTTATATCATTTTGCCTGACCTGTTTTATGCTCGTTAGCTTGCTTGTTGATTCCGTTGTATACCCTGTTCTCATTTGCGAACGTGACATTGCTTACATGGATTGACCAAGGTTTCCATGGCGAGTGTCTTCAATGAAGCAGAAGACGCTTACTCTTCCGTAACACCTGTTCTTTTTCTCCTTCACTTTTTAGGGAGTCTCTTTGCGAGTTTAGATTATTGAGGTAATGTGTCTGTATCTTCTTAGTTGTACGTTGTAGTTGTACGAAATGGTATATGTTGAAAAAACATAGTTTAGGCACTGTCTAAAATCGAGTGCAATTAGATAAAAAAATACATATTCATATATACATGTTCAATACATCATTTTGAATTGTCTGCTTCATGGCTTCACTCAAGTGGTTTCTACGTCATTTTAAAAGAAAAAAAAAAATTCAAATAGAGTTAAATTAAAACTGACATTTTAGTATAAGCATGCCATATCTGTCATATAAGTTTGAGACTCTTCGGTACCTTCTGGAAAGAAACGACACATTTTCTCGCTTACGGAAATTGAAAGGTTTCTGAGCCTTAAACCGGAAATAACGTGAAATGAATAGCCTTGATAGTTTTTTCCAACAAGTTCGGCAACTTGTGTTTCAAACCTTTAATGTTTATATTTGTTCATTATATTTGAATAATTTAAGACATTTAGTTTGTTTTCGATAGCGACAAGGCAACTTGAAAGAATACTTTGTATGTCGAGATAGTTTTAACTATTTCATAGATCGGCAGTTCTCTTTCCCTCAACGATCCAAGTTTCCATGGCGTATCACATATGTAGTTGGTTTTATTTTTTGTTCCTATTTTTTCACAACCATTTCGACTTTACACACACATCATGAAGCTCTGGCGGCGCTTATGCTGATTTTAACTTATCGTTATACATGTACACTTGAATATTATTGCATACTCAATACGAGTTTAACCATATTCAGACAGCTGTTAAATAAAGTATCGATATGTTAATGAATAACAAGGTATAAACCCCATAAGCATTTCTTACGCCATGAACTGGCGATTACCAGTTTATGTATTGTATGTATCATAATACCCCCAAGTTTGTATGAATTTAGGAGTTACTTGTAACGGACAATACTTGAAATCTAATGGTAGCAGGGTATTCTCGTATTGAAATGTATGATTTGAAGCTACTGATGGATACCAATTATACCCTATCAACGAAAGCTACGTGTATACAGGACTTACAAAATATCATTGAAAATGAGTTGGGTTTTTTTTCACCAGGTTTTACCACATGTTCAATCACAGGTGTCTTTTACTTTGACATTCATGGCTGTTTTAGCTAATATAGAAGTTTTTTTTATAATGTGGCGTACAGTTTTCAAGACATAGCTTATTTGTGTTACGTCAAAGTCGTCAGAACAGTATCGTGTCAGGCGACCAATGTTTGACTTGTGCAGACAGTTAGGAATACAAAAGATTTTTCTTGTTCATTTTCTCCAACCTGCGACCATGTTGTGTATCTCTATTTACATGCCAGTCGTCTACCTGTTTTCGCCTGGCCAGGTGTGAAGTAAAAATCAATGGGGATTTGGCATATCGATAGAATGCAATTGTTCTGATAGCCTGGAGTAGCTGGTCCAACTTATTACGCCCAGTTGATCTGATGTATGGGCCACAAACGATCGTGTGTCCGTGTTAGCCCAGTACCAATGACGTCATCGTTAGTGTTACTAGTGTACGAATTACTTTTACCTCCTTGAGGTCCACCAACGTCGATATAACGATTCGGTCAAGATAATACATAATACCTAATGATAATGTAAGAGTTGGATTACCATTAAATCCCTTTACATTACCCATGTCGCTGGATGATCGACTTATACGGGGGTATATCAGTTCACGAAAGGTAAGCAGGTTTTAAGGAACGCTGCCAAGTCTAAAATAGATTCCTATTCAGGATTCTTCCACCATATGGTCAGTCCCCATCGGTCATTCCTAATCGAGTTGCGTTTGTTGTCGATCCAGCCTCTACTTGTTACTATCTAAGTTCATTACGATCAATCTAAAACTGTTTGAACTGTCAAATTCGTATTCGTATAAGTCTAGTAAATTAGTATATCGTGCACACTTCCGGCCGATATCTCCCTCCCCCAATCCCAACCAGCGTTCCACTCAATTCACAAATTAGAAGCTTTAGTTTTATGCTTAAAGTCAAGAAAAACGTTTCAGAAACTCCTGGTAATATGTGAAATCCCGTCACTTGGTCCTCCTCTCAGTTTCTCATATTCATAACACAGTTCGACTCCACAAATTTTTCAATACTAGTAACTAGTTTCAAAATTCTTGAAAATTCATCGGTGTTCTTTTGTTTTCCAGAGAGCCTCCGTTTCGATCAGTTTTGTGATGCAATCCGTTCCCTGTTCGGCACTGATGTAAAGAATGCGGACTTAAAGGCTATTTACCGTAAGATTTCCACTAATCCGGACGCAAAGGTCGACTGGAGCGAGGTAGGCATTTTAACAGACACATCCTATAAACATGTATTAAATCATCCTTGGCCCTAGCGTTAAGTAACTTAAAAACATATACTTACCATTATCTATTTTCATAACATAACTGACATAATTTGTATACACTTTGTGTATGTTATGTGTTCTTTGCAGCTGTTCGGATACTTCCAATCGAGTGCGGAAGAGAGTGAGGAAATCGTACTTGGGGAAGAAGTTAGTGTATTCACCGTCTCAAAACGTCGACGGGTCGGCGAAGCGGCCGGTAAATTTACGCATTATTTACAAATTATAAATGAATATTTTATTATCAGATTTAATGAAAGAGGACGAAAACCACAGGACATTTAGGTCATATTAAGCTTTATAAACAGACTTTTTTTGTGCAACGTTATAAACTTTTTGGTGACGTTGATTTATTGTAATATCAACAAAGATTAAATTGGCATCTTGGATGAAATATTTCCATATTGGCATAAGATAAATATGCTTTTCTTTCTGTTTTGTCAACGGGTTTTCATCCCATTTCCACATTATTTCGGCTTAGTTCTAATTTGACAAATGCGTTGTAATCTGTATTTTTCACATTTATAGGTGACAAGACACGAAGGGACACAGTGCAATGCATACGATATATACCCTCACTCGATAGTTATATCTCATCTTCACAGAAAGGCGCTATAGCAGTATGGAGTAGTAAGGTAGGTACAACTACAGAAAGGTGCTGTATCAGTGTGAATTAGTGAGGTGGGTATAGATACATAAGGTCCCACAGAAAGGTGCTGTATCAGTGTGGATTAGTGAGGTTGGTATACCAACATAACGTCCCACAGAAAGGTGCTGTATCAGAGTGGATTAGTGAGGTTGGTATACCAACATAACGTCCCACAGAAAGGTGTTGTATCAGTGTGGATTAGTGAGGTTGGTATACCAACATAACGTCCCACAGAAAGGTGTTGTATCAGTGTGAATTAGTGAGGTGGGTATATAGGTACATAACGTCCCACAGAAAGGTGTTGAATCAGATACATAACGTCCCACAGAAAGGTGTTGTATTAGTATGGATTAGTGAGGTGGGTATATAGGTACATAACGTCCCACATAAAGGTGCTGTATCAGTGTGGATTAGTGAGGTTGGTATACCAACATAACGTCCCACAGAAAGGTGATGTATCCGTGTGGATTTGTGAGGTTGGTATACCAACATAACGTCCCACAGACAGGTGCTGTATCAGCGTGGATAAGTGAGGTTGGTATACCAACATAACGTCCCACAGAAAGGTGCTGTATCAGTGTGGATAAGTGAGATGGGTATAGATAAATAACGTCCCACTATATCAGTGTAGAGTAGCAAAGTAGTAAAGCTACACCATATCATCACAGAAACGCCTTATATTGCTACGCCACGTCCTCGTTAAGGTATTTTCTTGTTGGCACGAATATAGGAAATATATCCAGCATAACTTATTGAAATGTACGAGATCCTAGGACATAAGAATCGGGGTATCTCCTTAGGACCAAAGATATTATTCACCTTTCGTTTAAAGCCAACGATATTAGTCTACGCATATATCTTGAACTTTTTTTAGATAAAACAACAGATTGAGAAAAAAATCATAATACGGCAATTGTTTTTATCCTCATCAGAAAAAGGAATTATTTTGCATTTCATAATATTGTTTCTAAGATAACGCAATAAGACGATTTAATGAGGCGTATTCTATTTTAATTTCAGTTACGACTAGTTAGCTGTATCGATATTAACGTGAGTATATCTTTAATCAATTAGCTTGTAACTGTGTAAATATATACTGTTAGTTATTGGTTTTCGTGTTATATACATACGTAACAAATACACAGAGTTAAGTAAATCGAATGAAATTACAAATGTCTACAAACATGGATTCTGTCGATTTCTCACCCGATAGAGCGAAGAGAGGCATTTAGATTCTAGGTGGAGGAGGTTTTGTGTCTTGGAAGTGGGTAGGCGTGGGGGACGGAAGTCCTTCTATAGGAGAAACTTCCGGAGCTGCTGTAATACATTTTAAACTGAATATGCTTTCCCATATTTAATGAATAGAAGACGCCAAAAACGAAATGTGTCTTAAGACCTTTATGACGTCATCTTGATATCGTGCATTGTGACGTCATAGATTTAATGTCCTTAGCGATTTGGCTGGGAATAGGTGTCGGCTGAATTTTCGTGGTTGATTTCGATAGCGAAAATGTTTATTTAGAGCCGCGGTTGGTTACCGGCAGGGATACGGTCGTGACCCAGGCCAGGGCATAGTCATGGCGATGGCAGATGAGAACTGCTACGGCCCGACTGCCGAAAATGATGATGCTATCCTCTTAGCGGAACTTGACAAACTCAAAAACGAAGTGGAACGAGTAAAGCCGGGAAGTAAGCTTCTTGGGCAGACGGAAGAAGGTACACGGAAACTCACATACCGCGCTGTTCTGGCTCAGAGAGGATTCCTTGTGAAGAAAACACTCGGTTCCGGCAGTTACTCCACCGTCAAATTAGCCTTTAGCCTTCATCGCCAGGAAAAACGTGTAGCTGTGAAAGTTCTGAGTCAGAAGGTAGCTCCTAAAGACTACCTACTGAGGTTTCTGCCCAAGGAGAAGACTGTATGGCCTAGGTTAGACCATCCTCATGTCATAAAGATATATGAGATGTTTGAAGATACCTCAAGGACCTATTTCATCATGGAATACGCTGCTCGTGGAGACTTATTGCGCTATGTTCAAAGGTATGGACCTTTACACGAAGTGTTAGCACGTCACTGGTTCGACCAATCATGCAAAGCAGTGGAATATCTGCATTCACAAGCTATTGCGCACAGGGATCTTAAACTCGAAAACATATTGCTCGATTCGAACTACAGTGTTAAAATCGGCGACCTCGGGTTTGTGAAGGATAACCTTGGACCAAACCATCTGAGTAAAACGTTTTGTGGGTCTAAGTCTTACGTTGCCCCCGAGATATTGAAAGGGCGACCGTACGACCCCCGGAAATCAGACGTGTGGGCATTGGGCGCGGTTCTCTTCATAATGGTAACGGGAACGATGCCATTTGACGAAGCACGCGGAAACAAGGCAATGCTAGCTGAACACAAGAGATTGGAGTTCTCGTGGAAAGGTGCAACAGAAAAGTGTCGAGAACTTATCTTGTATCTCTTCACCTACTTATTTGAAGAACGGCCGTCTATTTCCGAAGTGAAGAATCAACCATGGATGACCATTACTGATGCAGAACTTGAGGAAATTGCCCCAAAACCAAAGCGGAAAAAGGACAGCGTTGAACCACCAGTGGAAACGTCCGGATGACATCCACTGTTACTTTGGAACAATATTTTCCGGCATAATGTTTTCAATATAATACTATATTTTGTGTTTTGGATCACAGCGTTCTATATAATGGATAAATTTAATATATAAATTGTTATTATATATGTCTTTATAAGCTCCCTATTTAAAAAAAATGAACGGTCCTGCAATTTATTACCTTTATCACAACTGATATTAAAACTTAATGGATATGTTATAAGTTCCTTCTTTTCTTCTTCTTTAATTTATTCATGTATTTAAACGTGTACTCTCAAAACTGAATAGCAAGAATCACCGGTATTTGAACAATTGCTACGGTAATTATGAAGTGGCGGGCCTACATAAGGATTACACAACACAAACGATTGATAATCGATCTTTCAGTTGTTGACGTATGGCGAATATGAATGTTGAATTTGCAGATTTCTACGTTATGATTTTGTCATCTTGCCAAAACTAAAGGGCGTCAACAAAATTCTTCCATAACTGGCCAATAAACTAATATATAATAATATATTAATGTATTTTAAGAAAAGATATTTCGATTAAATCAAATACATACGTTCTGTGCGTGTAAAATCCTTACGTATTAGTTACGATATTTATCCTTAGCCAAGGTATTTGTACGGTACAGGCCAAGAGAAAAATTGTATAGGAAAACAAACTTAAACTTGTGTTGTTTGTTTGGTTAGATATTCATTTAGGATGTTCGGATTCAGACTAAATATAAATGAGACCTGATTTATCAAACTTAGATAGTGTCTATAAAATCCTGATATACATGAGGTATTTGATTTCTTGTAGATAATGGCAATATCAGTTATCAGTAAATTTTGACAAACCTTGGGGTTGCATTATCGCTTTGCTGAAACTACATTCTTTATGTTTGTTTGCGGTAATCATTGTTACCATTATGACGTCACAGCGATTATAACGTCACAACCTGAGCAGGCGGAACCAATTTTGTAGCGATAACATGAAAGGTGGGAAGTGTTATTTCATGTATGTGTTTGCAATGTTTCGGAATGTGCAGTGATTACTGGTACAAGTGTTAATCATACATACTTCATGACCAGGATACAGAATTGAGGGTGTCACAGAGGACTGGGAAATTTACATGTAAGAAATCCACTCCTAGATACAAATTGTGTATAATTTCAGAACAAGAAATGACGATCCTTTATTTATCAAGTTTACTGATTCCGAATGCCTAACTGTCTGTTCTTACTAATCTCATGGGTAGGACTGATTGTCGTCCTAGATTCCGTAGGGCGGACTGATTGTTTTACTGACTACCAAGTACTGGTTCCATATATATCATTACTAGCGAGTTACAATCCCAAGGTCCGGACTAAATTTCTGTAAACATGTTACTAATCTCATGGATAGGACATATTCTACGAATACAAATGACCAATCTTGTAAGTAAGGATTTTTGGTATGCAACTGTAACATCGGTTATAATGTTCTTGTATAGGTATAAACCTGAACTATTCCCTTGGGTTGGGGCAATGGAAAATCCTACTAATTCCGTGGGTCGGACAAATCATCTTACTGATGAAAACGGGTAACACTCTATATTTTGCAGGAGCCCGCATGGGTGACAGGGTGTGACTATCTCCCAGGTATACGGCGAACCGTTACATGTACGGAACGGAGCATCGTTATTTGGGACAGTAGGTCAAAGGGCAAAAATCAGGTAAGCTCTCAAGAAACAGATCCCTGTCTTTATTAATGCACTTGCAGTCACTGTATTGTAAATAAGATATTTCAGATTTTAAATCGTGATGGAATTATCTGGTTACTCGAATGTATAGTTATGAATCACCGGTAAGTCAAGTATTCTATCATATCAAAGATTTTATGTCGTTCTTATTACAGAACACCTATCGTTTTCTGGAAAGAGTCCTAAAGAGCAAAGAATGCTCAATCAACTAGGTATATTTCAATTGAATTAAATTTATCTATACATATCATGCGTTATAGCCTCAGAACAGCTATGAAAAATTGTGTTCAAATTTTATTTCAGCAAATATACTCAATAAAACCCTTTGAAAATTCTCCTCAATGCATTACTCACGTGACCAGTACGTCTCCTGCGCACGAGGACCTAGTCCTGTTCGGCGACGATCAGGGTTATATAAACGCTATGAGGCTGGTGGCCAAGGACCTCAACACCAAGAGTACCAAAAACGACAAGCGTGGCAACATCAATCTTCCACAGAACTACCCAATCGACCCTGATAAACTCACATAGTCAGTATAACGTAGTTGGCAGAATAACATAGAAGTCGGTATAATGTGATTTTCGGTATAATGTACTTGTCGGTATAATTGTAGTTAGTAAACTTTTTTTTCGGAAATTGTTCTTTTTCCTCGTTTTATGTCTTTTCACAGGGAATCAGATTAAAATATTCATATTTAAGACCATCTTTGACTGTTCATTTAACTAATATACATTTTGTATATATTCGATTTTACAGAGTTTTTTCAAAGCTTGTAATTATTCGTTGCAGTCCTATAGTAAAAAGAAAGCTACATCACGACTGGGTACTGAGCGTCAAGTACTTTCCGGAACTTCGATGTTTCGGTTCCTGCTCACCTCATAGTCGACAGTCGTTTGTGTTGGAGGAGGTAGAGCGGCTGTATGATGATCAGTACGTAACAGAAAGTACTCCCACACATTTACAAAACACCTTTCCCGAATAACGGAATGATACTTATCTCTACACTATACATTCATACTCAGTCTTCAGTTTTCCTTTTTGTGTCCTCGTGCTATCAAACACTGTATTCTTTTACAAGCGAAGGATTCTAATGAACGCATTGATTAAATACTGGAAGTCCTTACTGAGTATCACTCGTACATGGATATTCACGTGTTTTTGTCTCCCGACAAACGGGAAGCGTGCAACATATTAATCTTGTATCTTTGCCATGTAACTGCATTTATCTATTATTTAAATGAAATTTTTTAATGTAATGCGACATGTGTAACATTTAAACTTAATGAACGTTAAGCCCGATAAATAAATGCAAGCACGTGACAAAGGTGTTTAAATGTTATATATTCAAGACCACTCTTGATAGTAAATACAAGGTATTTATTTTCGTAGGGAAATCAGGGGCGTAAACATACCAAAGGGAGTTAACTGCTTCTCGTATTGTGCCAAAGCTAATATCATTGCAACTGGTGGAGTAGACAAAGTCATCAGGGTGTGGCATCCTCACATCTTCTCACGTCCAACAGGTAGGTAGTGTCACATGTATCTCATGTTATATAGGTAGGTAGTGTCACTGATGACACCATGCATCCTCTCACGTCCTACACGTAGGTAGTGTCACATGTTTCTCATGTTATATAAGTAGGTAGTGTCACTGATGACACCGTGCATCTTCTCGCGTCCACCAGGTAGGTAGTATCATAGAGAGACATCACACATCTTCTTACAATGTACCTCCCAATGTATGTATCTAAGACAGGTTCCCCACATCTTCTCGCGCCTTTAAAGCCGAAAGTGTTACATGCAGGTATTCCGCATCAAGACTAAAATATTCAGATTTCGTTAAATTGGGACAAGCTCAATGCTCTCTTTTCACGTCAATCAAATCTGAAGGCATTTATACATCTCATGCTCATCTCATGTTTTGAATATTATCACGTCCTGCAAGTTAGTAGTATCATACACAAGCATTCAACATCTTCTAACGCAAGGCAGGTACATAGTGCTAGAGAAAGGAGTCTCACATTTTCCAGTTAGAAGGTACGCCGACCGTATCATCTCAATGGTACATGTTGATACTTGTGCAACACAAATTAAAAAATGTTAGCAATATTTTCCGAAACCCTGATATATGGAAAATTACGATTAGACAAGATGCATGTTCTCACATCAAACAAGGGGATATTATTGCATGTGTGTATTTCATTTCTTCTAACAGTAATATTTCACTGTGACATCTCACATGTCATCCACAGTTTTCTTATGTACCAACTAGTAGACTTCTTCGGTACATCATATGTATATGATGCTATTCCAGATATTATCAAAATGACATTTTAAGCGAAAACATCAACATCAAAATTAACAAAAATATTCAACTGCTCTGAAATTGACTTTCTTCTTTTTTAATGTCTAAGTCTTATTTTCATTGTTCTTTTACAGGGAAACTGATGGGTCATTTATTTACGATAGTAGACATCTGTTGTAATGAGCGAGATCAACACTTGATCAGTCTATCGACGGCGAGGGTGTTCCGAGTGTGGGACATTCACACTTTAACATGTTTACAGGTAAAAATTATATAAGAAAAGGTTTTGCGCTTGTTGTATTCAATCTTCTTCAGTCAGTACATACTACCGAGATCATGTCTAGTGATTTGTAATAAAAACTTCAAAAATGGCTGAGTTTACCACACCCTAGTCTGTCTTGTAAGGTAATCAAATCTTCTTTAATTTTTAATTATAAAGGAGTTATTTCCCTTTTAGTTTATATCGAGATTCGACATCATTCATCTGTTCACTATTTCTATTTCTTTCTTAATCCGGATGCAAATTAGAAAATATCTCGTGATCATTTCCCTTGCCTTTTTTTTTGTGTCTAGTTATACTTCCGTAATGGATTTTTTTTTATACCTTTGTTGTAGGTATTTACAGATAATGAAGAACGACCAGGCGAGAAACGAATATATTCAATGATATTTGACAGTAAACATGAACGACTAATAACAGGTAACGAATGACTTTGTACGCAACCTTAAATGGCTTTGAAAAACTACCTTAAAAGACTCTGAAAAACTACCTTAAATGACTTTAATGCAGATACAAATGTACGTGAAATACATTTTAGTCCGACATGAAACAACTTGGTAGTAAACAATTGCTAAAAGAAAACATTAAGCTTTTTTAAGCTAGCCTACACATGTACTGCAATTAATCAAACGTATTTGAACTTGCATAATTTCGTTTGTTGTAAATTACGTATTCTATATCTCAGGGTCAAGCGTAATAGACTCATGGCCTTTGACCCGGGCGGTACAAGATACGATGCAGGTTCCGCATTCGCATGACCGACCAATCAGCCAGATCGTGATCAACCTCGACCTCAACCAGGTCATCACCGTGTGCTCTGAATCCGTCATCAAGGTAGACACCTGACAAACACCTTGTGAAATGTCTTATCATCTTAACAATCGAAAATATATGATACACGTATCATTTATTCGCACGATTTGGATATTTAAATAAAGATTTTTTGAAATAAATATACAGCTTTAACAATATGCATAATTTCCTGACAGAATCGGTTGACGCTGCTACCTATCAAGGGGGATAACTCATCCATTACATTTCAGGTATGGGAAATGGAAACAGGTAAGCGGGTGTACATGATAGCTGATGCACACGGTCCCAATGTGGAAGTGACGGCATTATGTCTGGATAAGTCTGGATACAGGTTGGCAACGGGAGCTTTTGATGGTAAGATTCCTAGATTATAAGCACTTTAATATTTTTTTATCTGGAAAGACAAATCCCAATAACTACTTGAGTAATTATAATTTTACATTGGGTTACGTGTTTAACGATGCTTCCATCTTGTTTAATACCAAAATCAGCCGGAGTTCATTTAGACGCAACAATTATAAAATTGGTTTGATTGCTAAGTATGTCTAACGCAGCTACTGCTGAACGTACTGTTAACAGAACTGTTAGAGTGTCTATATCTGTGTGAGAAAAGTGACAAACTGTTTGTGGCTTTAGGTTCTGTGAAGGTGTGGGACTTTGGATCTGGACAGGAGATTAAATGTCGGACAGGTCGGGGCTCAGACGAGGACTACAGCATTACGGGGATGCTGTATACTCACCTGACAGGGGACAGGGTCATTCTGGCGGCCGGCTGGAACAACAAAATAAGGCTTATACTGGTACTAAACTTATTACTATATCATACAATGTATATATCTCTAATCGGAAAACTGCATGGTGTCGAAACTTAATCTCTTCATTTCATTTCGTTGTTTGTGTTTGTTTTATTCTCACTATATTTTCTGTTTACTTCTGCCGGAACGGGTTTTATACTAAGGGACAGAAATTGTATCGAAATTACGGGAACAGTCTCGGATTTCTTCCCTAGATTTTCATATTATTCTCGTTTGGATTGCAAGAGGTTGCAAGTTCATCTTGCTTTCATGCACAATATGGCGGTCCCGAGCATTTAAGGAATCATCGAATGTCCCTATCATCCGTCCACACATCGCCATCCTTTAATAGATGTAGGGACTAAAAACAAACGCCTATCATTTCGGTATTACTTTTATTCAACAGGATACAAACGAGAATTACGATCTTCCAATTGTTCGGGAGTTTTCGGATGTATACTATTGGACACAAGAGGTGAAGCTAACCCCTTCCAATTCCTCAGCTGACCCCTTCAAGGCAGATCCACTACCAGATATCGGTCAGCCGTCACATACGTCACTGGGTTCCAAACGTCATTCAACGTTGTCAGACAATAACGCTCAAATCACAAATGTGTTCAAAAAAGTAAGTTTATGCACTATCGCGTGTTCTGTTTCTGGAGTGTTACGAGTAGTTCTACAACATAGCTTACATAACGTGTATATCACAATAAGTTGTGTATTGAAATATGCACATTATATTTAACATTACGAAGTAGGTAACACAACCATTACTTATTAATATATTAACTATATTCTTAACTTCCTAGGACATAGGTATTTCCTTGGATATCGCTTAACCCGAGGTCATCAGGTTTTCGACATATACATACATTCACATTGAAATGCCTGATGACGTCTTGCTGGAATTGTATTGAAGTTGTTCTTTGAGATAGATTTATGACGTCATAATGCCATTTATGTTGTAGGATTATATTCTGATGTCACACGAAGTTACATGTATAGATAGTCTTCAGCCAAACATCTTATTGACAGGATGTTCCAACGGTAACATTGTCCTGTGGGATATAGAGAGATCCATGATCGAAAAGATGTACGTATACTTGAAACAGCTTTATGGAAAAAAAACAACAACTGTGGAATAAGTTCCAAACGTATTCTCTAGCGTACTCAGTTATATAGAAACTTCACGAATAACGAACTCTGTGAAAATATAGTTTTAAATGAATATCGACCGTTTACTAGATGTGAAGTATTGGAAGGTTGAAATGCTAGAATATTTTTTTTATTTGCAACAACTTGATCCGAAAAATTACGGAAATTACCGAGCACTGATGACATGTGATATGCCGTTACGTTTTTATGCAATAGTAGACGTGTTTTGATGGCGTTTTTGCCAAATACTGCCTGCTTTCAGATGTTTACGTTCTTGTTTGAATGAGTCCCTCGTTGGTTTATATGCAATACTTTGTTTCTGTGAGGCAAGTCTCGTGGTTATACAACCTTATAATCTTTCCCCTCTGGTTGAGGTCACACCTGCAAGGCGTGAATCAGCATGTACTTCACAAACCGCAACATGTAACTGAAGATCTTCTTGCTTCTGTCGTATTTCAATTTCCACAGGCGTGCTTGGGGAATGTTGAATGCTGAACAGTTTCAATACTCTTACTGTAGTAGGTTAGGAGAGGCTCTTCACAAAATTTCATTGAAAACAAAAACATGATAAGATGAATACTCCGACAGTTATCTTAGTGTAGAGCGTAACGTAATGTTTATTATTTATACTAACGGTAGATCACTGGAAACTGTCTTAGGAGATGGAATGGATGCTAGTAATATGAAGGCGCGGAAGATCCAGCTTTCTGATATTTATAATTTTGCTCTGATGTTAAGTGTTTTATGGAAGTTTGAAAATGGGAAGTTGTTATGCTAGGTAATTCTTAACGAACTGGTAATCTGTAGAAGGCCAAGGAAGGCTAAAGTATTCATATTTAACACACGAATAGTCAATTTGATATTCAGGAAACTATATTCATTGTTTGAAGAATATTGATGTCGTCACATTGTTCAATACTATGTTCTACACAAATTATCAGATTTGAACTTCCCGGTCCTGATGGGTCAGCGCCAAGTCCTTCACGCCAGAAGCAGAAACAGAACCAAGAAAAAAGGGTCAACATGATTAAAGTGCTCATTCACAAAGAAAAGAAACTAGACCCAGCATACCTGAAGTATGTATATCACACAAAGAAATGTACAATTACGTATTCACAACTAGGGATAAAATTCCAATCCTTGTATAAACTGATTTTTTAATTTTTTTTTCAATTATGTGAAAGCTGTTTTATAGTTGTATTTAAATATTGTGCCAAGACTTATAGCGATGTGTATGAATATGTCCTAAATAGAACCATTATTTTCATTTCTGTTCCCCTTCGTAGGCGTGTTGTGGAGGATAATGATGAGAAAATGGAGACAGCTTCTGTCATGTCCAGATCTCGAATGAGTAAAAAAGTATCTCGATCAAACTCACGCTTATCTCGAACCTCAAATATTCATCAACAGGTCAGTAACCTTATGTTGAAGTTGAGAGATGTTTAAAAAAAAAATATACCATATTTGCTGTGGAAGGTTCTCTTCGATGTTTCAAATTTTCACCAAAGGTGAAAGGATGTGTTCTTCACAAATGTCGAAAAACGGAATGTAGTTTATTCTATCAATTTCTATCAGTTTTGTTTTCCACCAAAATAGTTTCCGCGATTTTAATCTTTCTTAAAAAATAACAGTATTTGTAATACCCAAGTCTGTGATGGTATTGACACATTTTTAATTCATCAAACGTGTATGAATTCTGGTAACATGAAGTGTATTAAACCACAAGACGCTAAACCATATGCTAACACTATTACAGGCTGATATTAAGGTAGATGAGAAAGAACAAAAGGAGTTGATGGACAAACTTACGGCGAAAATTGAAGGCGTAGAGGACAACACAGGAGATACAACAGACGGTAAAGGTTTCGACTCGTTCTTGCTACATGCCTGTTTTGAAATGTACAGTATAGACTTATTAATGCAAAACGGCACAAAAATGAAATAAACTTTTAAAAATTCAAATTTTGTAATGTAACTTACAACCCGAATTCATGTCAGGTCTACGTGATTTGAAAATATATCTATTTTCGATGATTTCAGCAAAGAAAGAAGAAACAGTAGAAGAGGAAAAGAAAGACCCAGAAAAAGAGGAAGGTGAGGAAGACGAAAATCAGAAAGAAGAGGAAAAGGATGAAGATAATGACGAGGAAGAAGACGATGACATTGAAAGTCGGTATATAACGGAAGTGTATGATCCTATCATCGTCAGTGTCCATCAAGACTCCTATATTCGGTTCTGGACAATGTCTGTACGTATCCCCTACTACACATTTTGCCTGACTTTGAGTATCCTATCAGTTCAATGATAAATCAAATGGCATTGTAATTTAGAATACAACAACGTATGGATTACAATAAGAATCATGATACACATAAAAAAAATGCTGCAATGCAACATCCTGTTCCAGACTAATATAATCTCACAATTTTATACTTCAGGTACTAGGTAGATTTTATTTCACCACACCAGAAATTGAAAATAAACGATAGCTGTCTTCGATACTCAATTAGATGTTTACGTTGATGTGTACATGTTAAACACGGTGTCATTGGCCATTGCAGGGACAGTTGGTGAGGGAGGTGTCGGCCATCACTCGAAGACAAGGGACGCCAGTGACAGCAGTCTGCCATGACGAAAACTGTAACATACTCATTACGGGGGACCAGAGTAAGAATTGTACCATACACTGTGGCGGTTGTAACATGTATTTCATATTATATCTAACGCAAGGTCGCTGATAGATAGTTCTGTAAAAGACTAATGCTGTAGAACACTTATCATAAGCACCACTGCTAAATTCAAGAATTCTTTACCGAGCCTTTCTTAAAATATGTTCCAGACAATAGCAATGTTATTGAGCCACATGGTTGCTGCTACACATTGCTTAACCCAAGGATCAATATGATAGATTTATTCACCAAACAATTACTTGTGTATAGTCACTCCTAGTATTCAATTCATAGACAGATCTAGCTTTAATATTCCACATAACCCAAGGCTGCTGCTATATATTCCTGAATTCAAGGATTAAAGATATGTAATTAAACACACGGACATTGTTACGACTGAACCCAAGGATCAGTGGTGTATAATGCTAAATCCAAGCATCATTACCCTAGCTTGTCTGTGAAATATAAAGGTTGTTACCGAATTCATGTTTACCTTAATAACTAAGAATTGCATCCATAGAATCGATTTAAATTTGTATATCTTACCTACATATGTATTTTATCACCAGTCTTATGACATTATCTAACCACTTCATTATTTTGTCAGATAGGCTTTATGTATTTATAGAATTAGAAAACAAGTATTCGTTGTACTCATTTCAGAGGGTTATCTAACATTGTGGGATGTGGCCAAGTTTCTGAAGAACCCTACATCTACTGACCAGGTATGTGATGTTAACACTGGTTTACTTATCTTAATTATTATACTTTAACAAAGAATTTCTTAAATAAAAACACATAAAAAAGTTTTTTTCTTGTACATTCTATTACTAACAATTACCTACATATTGGATATATTACTTATATTTTGGTAATATGATCGATTTTATTTTTAACTTTGAATCATTTGCCAAGATAATAGGTGTTGAAACACATCGCAACACACGTTATTTTTAAACCGACGTCCACGATGTTTTATTGGACAGGGAAGTAAAAAGCAACTGAATTATTTTTTCAGTCTGTTTTAAAACAAGTGATATACTGGCGAGCTCATTTGATGAAAGTTGTCTCCCTTGCATATATTAACTCACTGAAGGCGATATTTTCGGGATCGATGGATGGATCTGTGAGGTGCGTATGTCTCTTCTCTTCGTATGTTAGACACTACAGCTGTCAACAATTGATAAGGCGGATGCAGATTACAAAAAAAAAAATAACGATATATTTTTATATTCTTTCGATCACTTTGGATTTTCAACAGTCGCCTCCTAGTCTTCAAAATTGAAGATCTTAGCATCACGAACGAGTCCTAGAATGACGAAACTGTTATATGATACAATTTACCTCATTGTTTGGCTCTACTGTATCTAACAGTTAATTATTGAACGGTGATATTCCCGTGTATGTCATTTTTTTCAATCTTTCATATTTCATAAACATGTAGAAAGATAAAACACTGATTGTGATTTTTAACAAGATCTTATCTGGAATCAGCTATGGGATATTTCATAACTCCTTTACACATTGTATATTCATTTAAAGCTAGAGATACATGCCAACTGCTTTATTACAGAGTATGGTGGGGTTCCAAAGGGAGGTTCGTTGGTTTCTTCAGTCAGCACAGAGCCTTTGTGTGGCCAGAATCTGAGGAAAAGGCAGGCCCTGCCGTGTTACCGTACGATATTACTGAGGTACTACAACATACAATCATGTATTGTATTTGCCTGAAATAGTTTATCAGAAGTTCATACCATGTAACGAATTAGTTGATAGAAGGTTACACCAACTAACGGTTTAGTTAATAGTCGGTCATACCATGTCACGGTTTAGTTAATAGTCGGTCATACCACGTAACGATTTAGTTAATAGTCGGTCATACCACGTAACGATTTAGTTAATAGTCGGTCATACCGTGTAACGATTTAGTTAATAGTCGGTCATACCGTGTAACGGTTAAGTTAATAGTCAAGGTTAGTGTAACAGTATGTTCCAGTCTAGATGCTGATATTTCTTCCAGTCAATTTGGGTTTTTCTAGGTTTCAAAATTTAGGCCTTTAGCATTACTGACGAGTCCGAGAAGGACGACAAAGCTGAGTGGTGCAGTTTAATTCAAAATTTGGTTCTTTTGTATTGTTTCCTACATTTACAATCACATTTGGGATCGTGACATTACTAACACTGTTTGGATCCACTGTATCTTACTTTATAATTGTGTTAATGTGCCGATCACTTGTGTGTCTTGGTACAGTCGTCCATGTTTTGATGGGATGTTAGGGAACAGCAGAATTTAGATTAGATTAAAGTGACATACATAGTACATTGATTTGTGACTTTTCAAATGTAAACTTAAATGTAGTGCATATGCAATTCTCTCTTATCTTCATTCATGTATCTTATATATCAAATCTGCATCCTCGATAACAAAATGAAAAGGAAAGAGAACGTGAAAGAGATTTCCAGTCTAAATACAGCCATGTTTTTATTTTAAATGGTACAGTCTCCCCTGGCCCCGGTAAAGAACAAAGGTGCTAAGCAGACCGTCAGGACGGTCGAAATGTATGAGTATCCACTTATATTTGACAATGATAGGTAAGTCTTGCATTAATATTACTTTATACATCTCATCTGATGTTAAAACCTTATGTAACATAAGAAAATCAGAAGCGGAAGTTTGTATAATCTGTATTAATTGATTTTAATTTTGTAATTCTAAATAGAGAATTATGTATACCAACAGAATTTTTTTTTCAGAAGTATAGAAGTACCATTATAGGATTGCAGCACGTGTTTATCATTAAAACATTCCGTTCATAATATATAATCCACAGGTGGGAACCATTCCGTCGGTCAGCATACATGAGACAGAAAGAAAATACCATTCCTCAGACTAAGAAGAACAATTTAGTAGAGGACAAAAAGTTCTTTACCGCTCTGATGAAGCCAAAGGTATGATCAAAATTCCGAAATTCCTTATGCTTGGAAAGTTCTATGAAAATCATATGCAAACTATTATTAGCTCTAGTACTCTTCTGCACATCGACTTGTTTACCTCGAAATGTTAAATGTGTCCAAAAACCTTACAAATATTATATCTTTCGTTATCCAAGGTTTGTTTTACTGGTACTACTTTAATTGACATGTAATTCTGAAAGTGCAGATAATCAAGAACTATATGAATTATGATATTATGGCAGTATTCAGTCAGTAGGCAAGATACTTGTTGGCTTCCTATTTGCCTTCTATTGTTACATTATATCAAATGTATATAATCACAGACATTCAAACAAACTCCTAGAACTCGTATAGAAACTGACACGTTAAGACATCTTTAAAAGTTGGTGTATTATGATCGTATTTGCACCTAATGATTCTTGATTACTGCCTCAAAGTTAACTTCTTAAGACACACTTTCGTCCTAAAACACTGCAAGCATGTATTTGTGTAGGCCTTGTAGCTGTTGGCTGTGTGGTTTAGAATTTGCTATTTGTTTTCGCCTGTATTTGCCAAAGGTCGTGGAAAAGTAACCGATATTTAAGCCATCTTTTACAAACGAGCACAGTAGATTAACAGGAATACATTCTCCCAATTTTTAGCTTATAAAAAAGTTTCCTTACATAAATAAGGATGATCAGTGTATTGAATTATAAACGCTGGATTTCAATTGTATTTTAAACGGTGATAGGAAACATATACATACACAGATGACAACACTGTTTTGTCATCACTTAATGAAAAAAATCCTAACGACACAAAAGTATGTAAAACATTAGCAGATGTTCAACCTTTTGTTTATTTTAACATGCAATTTCAACAGGGCAGCTTAGACCGAAAGCTGGGGATCAGGAACTCGAATGAGATAGAAGGGGTAAACAGTTTGGTCGCGGCATGGTTTTCAATGTAGCATAAACCGTAATACAGTACTAATGTAGTACATAACTATGATATTACAATTATGTAATTCACTCACATTGTTTATCTAGTAACATGTAATATAGCATTTTGAACCATTCAACAAAGTCACACCAACTGAAATGAAGAGAATAAATGTATTTGTAATGGTTCACAGTTCTTACTAATGAAGGATATTTGCCTTTTACATGCTAAATTAATCAATATTGTTTGTATAGTCCAACAGCTGGGTTGAAGTAGATAGGTGACACAAAGCGTGAATTGCTTGTCACTACGTTAACATACTTGAGCGGTGATGGCGTAGCATGGCTTTGTTTGAGAGACACTGTTTGACGTAATATATATGGTTAAGTCTATGCATATTTGCTACTGATTCGAGACTGATACGAGTGATGCATTCAGTTTATTACAAATTTTCATGCTGCATATGGTTATTGCTGTTCTCATTTTGCATGATCCGCTTTGTAAATTTCTATTCCTTTCCATGACATGGCAAGGTTGTCGAAATTAGAAAGAGGTTAAGTAGTTTTAACGATCCATCAACTACCAATAAAATATTGCCTTTTGTTTAAAGAAATACCAAACTGAAATTTCCAGTCGTAGTGAAACATTTAATGCCAATGTATTTAGTAGTGAAATAACTGCTGGCGTTACAAAAAATTCAAAAAATTCGGACAGAATTCGTTGAAACATGACAAGGTTTGAAACTAGAATTCTGTGTCGATGGTTTCAAACACATGGTTTAAGATATGTCACTGCTTCCGATAGATATTTCGGTTAATTATCAAGATGAAATCAATAAAACAATGCAAGAAGATTGTTTCATCTATCTCTTCATTTCATTAAATCACCATTGTCTGTACGTATCAATTCATGCTTAATATACATTGTCTAGTTTGGACGTCTTAATTGACGTAATATTATTTGATATTGTTTATGTCCATGAATATCTGAACTTAAAAATAAATCAATCTGAAACATATTGCCTATCATGTTTTCTTAGATAACAAACGTATTATAACAGATCATCTTGTATACAATCGTAGGCCTACAACCATCACCTGGAAAGCTTCACTCCCGGGGATAGAAACCAAGGAGCAATATATCGGGCACTGCCAGTCTATAGGGTAAGCAAGAGTTGTCTCGCTTGACGTCACAACAACGAAATTATGTTATCGATCATCAAAACACACCTCAAATTTCATGTTTTCAATTTCATACATCCGATCTTTCATTGAAGACTGACTGTTAACGATAATAATATAGCATCTATATAAAATATAGTTGGCAATCTTGAGCAATAAGAAAACAAGTGTTCCAAAGTCGAGCGTTTTCTACGTTTCTGCTTGTCACTGCATTTATAAATATATTTTACATTATTTTATTATTTTATTGAAGATCCGAACACCAAAACGAATGAAAACTCCCGAGGCCAGTTATCATGTTCCGACAGATAACGAGTCAAATTTTCTCTTCGGAACAAATAAAGTGAGTATTGTGAAATCAAATACGTTGTGCATGAATCCGAAATGTGCAGATTGTTTATGTGAGTCTCACGTGTGGCTAAACATATTTCTAGACATTTGACACACTGGTATCTAAACTTATACTATGAAACAGCAATGCAGATAGTTTAGCTATGTGTGATTTGAATCAAGCAGGCATGCATTTTAACTGCTATCTGAATTTGCATGATCAAACTTGCATGCACACGAGTGGTTTTACACAACAAATTAAATATTCATCTTGCACACCGCATACAGGTTTTCTTTGAAGATGTTGGCAAGATAGAGTTATACGATGAAAGTAAATAGCTTTAACATACCGTTAATTTTTAAATGACGAATTTGCAGTTCTTTTCCCTACCGGCGCTGTTTAGCCGAAAGACGTTATACATTACAGTCCAGATAAATGACATCATGTATCCTGCATTGCCTGAAGCATGGCAAATAATTTTTATATCGATAATCATTTTTTTTAAAGAATATTTTTAACTGCTTTAGCAAGATTCCTTCAACATTTATCATCATATGTAAATACATGTGTATATGTAGCAATGCTTATGGGTCAAAATCAATATCCGGTTTTTGTTTTAAAATTAGATATTGATATCAAACATTAAACACTGTTATGATATTTACACTAATAAGTTGTTACTTGTATGTTTGACTTTTGGTAGTTTAATTTTCTTCTAAATCATGTATGAAAACGACAACATATATTTTGTTTTTAGGATTAACGTTTAGCAGAACAATTAAAGAGGGTAAATTTACGTGTAATTGTCCTGTTTTCATGTTACGGTGGAAGGCTACATAACTGATTAACTATAACAATTTTATCGTTCAGATTTGATATATAGCAGTGCTGAAATACGAAAACATTTGTGTATATGTTTGTGAGGATTTATTTTGTTTGGGTTCACTATTTTACATGTAGCCATATTGCTGTGTATAATTTTTGTCTTAATCCGTGCCAGTTTTCCGCGTTCATGCTTGATGTTTATATATTTGTATGTTCTATGGCTACGGTTGCTATGGTGTGAACGTACAAATGTTTATGCAGTTCTGTCAATGTTTTGACGACATCCCCTAACGTAACACTACCAAAGTTTTGTTATGACCATAATACATCAATATGTAGTGTTTTAATAATATTAGTTAAATGTTTGGAAAAGTATTAAATTTAACTGTTTCAGAAAACCCAGTCTGAACAGGTAATTTATATAATGATTGATTATTTTTCTATCATCATGCTGTCTACTTATCAATTAGAGACATTTTCATTATTATACATTTAACCATTAATAATAATTAATTAATTAATTAATAGAAAAACAAATACATTACTTTAATTATTTATTGTAACTGTGTTAAATATAACTCGGAACAATTAATCTACATATAAATAATCTTGATACGTATATGTATATTTATGAATACCTTTGGTTATATTAAAAAACAACAGCATATCTTAATTTATTGGAGATATTTATGCTCCTCATCTGTCTCTGACGGCACTTGTTTTGCAATGATAACATCATTTCAAATGATGTCATTGTGTACCTGCATTTTATGACAGACATGTGATAAGGATTTCCGATATTATCACCGCATGAATCGTAAACGCTTCTTCATTAATGTTAATAATATTTGTCCGGATAGCTTTTCATATACTGCAATTACGTAATTATCCTTCAGGATGACACAATCCTAAAAATCAATTTCAAAGATGTAAACATAATCCTATCAAGCATGTTATTGATCTGCACCTGGTGTCGCCTGATTGATTGATGATCCTTTTAGACAGCCTGAAGATAAACTCGTTCTGTTAACGTATATTGGAAACCCATCTCTATACAATACCACTCCAGGATAACCTCGATAGTAGTTTCGCTTCTAACAGCTTAACATAGGTCTTCAATTACTCTTGTTTTATATTGATATGTTTTATTTCGATTTTCTGTCCATGTTAAATTATACTGATACTGGTGCTGCCATGATGATTAGGATTATATTGCCTGTTTACTAACACGTTCAAATGGTACCGTGCTAACAAGACATTTTTACGGTTCCTTTTGTCCTGTTTGTTATCTCATAATTGGAAAATGTTCTGTAAATTGATGCAGATTGATTTTGTTGTGAAGGAAATGACAGTGAGCAAATAACAAAAGTAGAAATAGTCTACCTGTCTGTATAGGAACAATACAGTGTGACCTGGTAATGTTCTGCCATCACTGTCCGTCATCTGATTTTCATACGTCATTGAAATAATTAATTCTATTTATTGACTCGTTGGTTAGTCGCAGGGACTTGTCGAGGAACTTACTTATTTATAATAATCACGAGTGACTACGCCAATGAAGCGTTCTTTTATCTTCGGTATTATCTATGTCAGTGGTCGGATACTAGCTATTCACTATTGATCCAGTTCATTGAACCATTACACTTTCAATTATTCATATATGTAAACGAAGTAATTTGAAGCAAATATTATATGGTAACAACCTGTTTTTGCTTCTGCTTTTATTGCTTCCTCTATTCATTATTTTCACTTTTATTAATTCACAGTTTGTTAACTTCGATATTTGAAGTTTCTATTTAACTAGTTATGCAAACCCATCTTTCATCGCTATCGGCTAACAATCAAAACACAAAGTCGCGAGGTGAGACATGGGTGTTACTTTTTCGAGTGGCTGCGTCGTCGTCAAAAGCTGTGTTGTTTGCTAAAATATCATCACCAGAATTGCTTTATGGGTACATATAAGCAAGAGCGAGCAATTACTCTTCTAACATATAGTTTACATTTACTTGGAATTTCTTCATTAATTGTATCATGTAAATTTTTGCACTTAGCTCCACAACGAGTCTTATTTCTCTTTAAGTACATACGTTTTCATTACGAAATTTGGAATGTACTTACATCTAGTTTAACCATTTCAAAGCACATTTACGATTCTGATTTAAACCTACAGTGAATTGTTAATTGGACTTTATGCATAAGTTGTGCCATATTAAAGTCTTCTGTTTAGCTTTGCATTGAACTTTATTCGCTCGAAGTACATAAGCTGTTATATCCAGACCAGGAATGTACTTACATGTATGTACGGCCATACCAACACATCTCAGATGCAGAATTTCATCTGTAGATTACTAGGATGAAGCTCCATATAGTTTGTCTAAAGAAATGAAAATATACAAAACGATTTCGTTATGATATATGGTTGATGGCATCCTTGAATGAAACCAGACAAGATTTGCAAAAAGAAATGACCTTGGCTCATTTTCAAGACCACAGTGGTATTGTTGTTAAAGCTACTAAAAAGCTTCGCTTCGTGTTATCCAAAAGACATAGAAGCATTATCTTAGGAAGATAGGTTTTTGGAATGAAGCCTGATTAAATTTGAAAAAAAGACCTTTTCGACCGATTAATAAGATTTCTGTGTACTGATGGCCGCCGCACGTCAATTTTTTCTATTGTTGATCTGTAACTTATAATATACATTATGGTGAAATTAGGTAACCCTAGACAAAATAAGCCATACTTGTACATATATCACGATTGCCATAAGTTAAGTGAAATATATCTTACCATTTTTCATGTTAGTCTATCAACAAAGTTTTTTATATCAGACAATTGACCTATTAGCATGTCTTCCGTCTTTTATTTCGTCACCATGTTGGAACTCTTACTCTGAGAGAATGCTGCGTTGGTACAGTATTAGCTAGGGTACAGAGGTCAAGTGATGTCATGTTAAAACAAGTTAGAGTAGATAAAGTGAAGTATTGTGTTTCATCTGGTCTCGCTCACGAATGTACCATTAGTTGTTAGATATATCGAATCCACCTATGAATTCTAAGTAAAATGTGATTTCATCTTGGTAGATTGAGAAATATATTGTTTCAGCGAATTGTATTGTTTACCTATCTTTATTAGCACCGTTTTTGATGTGGTGATGGAATTTATCTCCATTGTTCCTATTCACGTGTAAATATATATCAAAATGGATTGCTTCCTGAAAAACGTTTAGGTGCTGCTCATCAGAGCACATGAGGTTTTGAATTATTTTACATGAAATGTTTCAAGTGTTATTGCAGTCATCATGTTAATGACATACTACATATTTAAAATATTAATACGACCGCTGTGGTTTCCGCTTTTACGTTACAGTTATGAGTGTAAGAAAACGTCATGCATTCAGAGACTATCGTTACCGCCATGACGTCACAAAAACGGATGGATGCAAAATTAGATTGTTAAACTAACTTGAATAAGTAATTGAATATCATTAAATGAAAATAAATATCAACCGTTTCATTAACCTCAAATGAAAACTAAAGTTTTACCACAAATCAAAACATGGGTGGCATTCTATATTCTTAAATCTTTATGATATTTTGTTTTCACTGAGTTTTGTTGGTGTGATATGTCTTATCTGTGCATTTATTGACTTGTTTACTTGTGGTGATGTGGCATGCTTTGTCTTTACGTCTGTTGATGTTATCTTTATTCCTGATCTGTGTCTAACATGATATATACTTTTTGCTAATATATTTTATATGTGTGTTTGTTGACCTGTTGCCATGCTCTAATACCCAGCCCCTGCCACAGATTAAGATGACTCGGCGTGAATCCAAGGCCCGAAGGATGAGCTCCTTCAAGATGTCGGCTAGTACATCATCCACTAGCGGCCGGCGAACAGACAGAGTCCCGCGAATGACGTCTGTCTATAACTCTCTACAGTCCAACAACTCCTTGTATGACGTTCGTAAATCGCCTAAAAAGTCTTGATGAGTCTTGGTAAATGTGATAACGTAGATGATATTTATCGGAGATATAACGTACTTATCCACTCTAGACAATATTTGCATGTAGTCTACTACACCCATGGTGCATGTGTTTCCTAGTACCCCTGTCAGCAAAGATCTCCTAGCTTTCCCTCTGTTTTATTAATATAAGCCTTAAGTGATAGGTTACGTAACATTCCGTGGTGATGGCTTACATTTACAGTTGCTAGACAATGTGAATTACACAAAAGAATTCGCTTGAAAAATTTAGGTATGCACGTGTATACACAGAAGCTATGAGATTTTTATCATTTTCATTAGTTTTATATTTGTTTGTTTTAATTTTAGCTTGTGTAGATGATTTTAGTGAGATTTATATTCATCTCATATTTATAGACGCCAATTTAGCCATTTACGGGGAGCAGAATGGGGGACAGATTGTTAATCGTATCCATTATGTCCAGTCCGGTAGTCCGTCCCGTCCTTCATGCCCCATGCTGTCCCGTCCTGTCCTGTCTCGTCCCGTCCCATTCCGTCCTGTCCCGTTTTGAATCAATGTATGCTAATTATTCTAGCGACTTCATTTCCGCATTTAATCAAGCTTAGATACAACGGTAAGTTAATCCAATACATCGGATATTTTTTTAATTGAGGGTTTTAAGGCCAAAGCCGCCGTCATTAATATTTAAAGAAAATTACCGAGCATTCAATAAATGGAATAGGGCAATTTGTAGTTTATCAGGATTGCTTTTCATTACGTATTAAGGGCCAGGTAAACGCGGTTCTACCTTGCCTCGAGAATACGAATTTTGTTTCTGCTCAATATACCTTGTATATGTCTAGATGTTGTCTACGAAATATCGTAATTTCTACAGGCTCCAAAAACCCTGTTTAATGTCTAATATTTAAATGATACTTTTGGCACAATATCAATATGTTACGTTTACACAGTTCTAGAATACCAAAATAAAAACCATACCATTTCTGTGCATGAATGTGAACAGCAGAGGATCTGTATTGGTATGTTTTCCTATAGATATATAACCAACTATTATATCGTCCTATATGCCGTCATGTTTACAAAGTAGGATCAACTTTTAATACATGTGACCTTTAATTATTTCTGCTTTCTAGAGTACATCAAAATGTTTCGTTATGTTGATGTCATGTCCGTTGATTAACCAAATAATGTTTGATACTTTAAGTGTCTGTTTATTTTGGACGCTTTAATCCATTGCATTTGTCAGTTGGAGACAAATGAAATAAATATGTGAGGCAATACCAAAATACTTATTTTGACAGCTTTCCAAAGGTTTGACAATACTAACAGCTTAAACAAGTACCGAACTTAACTATATCACTACAAATATATTTGCATAATATCAGTGTAATACTAATTTCATTTGATGGCTCTCTCTAACCATATTGATGAACATCATGGTAACCTGACAGTGTATCTTGCTTTAACGTGGAAGGATTTTGTTTCAGCTTAGAATGGTAGATGTTACGTACATACTTACATTGTCAACTCAATAATGTTAGAGTACATATATATACACTTAGATATTTTCATAAATGTCACAATAGGAAAATTATCACCTAAGTTGTAACCAGTAAGTTATCCGACTCCCTCACACTATAATTGAAGTAACAGTCATTTGCTAGACCATTTAGTCAAAGATATGGTGTTGAATGGTATGTGGGTATGGTGATGACAAGAAAAAGAAAACAAATAACTGGCTGTGTTGTTTACAATTCTGAAAAATCATTAGTGTAATACAGATTCGGTATTGTAATGAATAGAATGACATAATAAAATATTAATGATGTATTTATGCCTGGAACTAAGGTGCATAATAGCTTTCTATCTAAAATTATAATAGTGTTTAAATGTTGTCATTATTTCCTTGCATACATACTGTTGTGATATCACATGTTGTAAACAATTTCAATTAGTTTCGTTTCATAACATTTCGTAATACACCTTTATCAATATTCGTAGTAATTTTTACAATATACTTGTGAGAAAAAATCCATATCAAACATAAACAATTTGGTAAGATATGATCAAAACAGACCGGCCAGCCTTGATGAGGCAATCATCAACTATTGTGTTGTATCCTCTATTGTAAATTACAGATATATACCTTTTTCTTCTCGGCAACAGAACACATTAATATTTATTGACATTTTTATCACACAGGAAGCTGCACCACCTGCGCCAGTAAATAAGATGAAAATAGGACCGCGCCGAAGTACGATATTCAAGTCTGGAACAGGTACCAGCTTTGCTTTGTCTCGGCATTCAGAGCAGAGTTCAAGTGATGCTTCATCAATACCCAAAAAGCGGTGACACATCCAAAGACTTTTTAATAACGAAAACAGTTACCCACCAAATGGACAAATGGCCAACTGAAATATCCAGCGCTTTAAACCATAAGCATATTCCTTTTTGGAAGGAAATTTCCTTGTGCCATTTCCAGAGGATATAAAGGTTTCATTTTCCACGGGCAATGATCTTAAGTTCAAAAATGAGGTTTCTGTTATCAAGATCAACATTAAATTTGATCGATAAGACTTAATATATTTTTCAAATCACTATTCCCCCTCAAGTATATGATGGAAGATGAATGATGTAGCATACTGACAATAAAACACATATCTTTACCTTTTTTGACAGATATAGACATTGTTTAATAGCTGTCCATGAAATTTTATCTATGAAAATCTATTAAATATGAAAATAAATATATAGGTTTCACTTATACCAATAGTACAAATATGAAACATACAGATGCTTCACATCACTTCCAGCTCTAAACATCAGAATAATCAAACACGTAATGTTGTTTCAATATATTGCATATGGCCGTATCATGATTCAGTTATAGAGAATTGACCTACGTAAACTTTTTAGCTTTATAAGACAAGTGTACGACATTTTCATGTCCTTTCGAATGGAGAAAAGCGAAGTGATAAACTTCCCATATAGCTGAACATATGAAACCCGTGCAAACGCTTCATTACAAGATTACAAGATTATTTGAAAATATTGAAGAAAGAAAACAACAGAAGTAACTGGAGTAACTTGATATTTATGTAAATAACGATGAATATAATTTGGACATAACATCGATTTCACACTGAAATACAGTGTATTTTATTTGGACTGATACAGTACGTACTAATGGATCGGTGACTTTGACGACGTGTGAGTGATGGTAACACTTGGAAATACATTAAAAAGTATTATTTTGTGATTTAAGATATGATTATTTATTGTTTCGGAATAGTGTTTGTATGTTCAAATATGTACAGTATGATTGTTTACATCTGCTCTAATGTTGATTTAAGTTGTATAAAGATTCAAAGGTTTGTTTGATATGTATATATCTGTCATATAAAAAAATATCTAAAAGTTTATGATACTTCATTCATTTAATGTGTGTACCACCACGATCTGTTTGTACATAAGCCAGTATGTAAGTAGGACGTGTATAGAAAATGTGTATAATAATGATATTCATATTTGAACTTTTTGCTTTTTGTACATGGTGTTTACACATGTTTATGTAATGATATTTATACTTAAAGTATGACATTTGTATAAAATAATTTTTGTACAGTGCAAATTATGCTTGTAACTATAAGTTATCAAGTGTATGCATTTGCATTGATTACTATATGTTAAATAATAAATTTGTAAATAGTTATTATTTATACCGAGGTGAAAAAAGCAAACTGTGATATATTATTTTACACTAATTGATCGTGAAATGATTGTTTATTTTATTTAACACTGACAACACAATACTTTTTTATTTCTAAACTGTGCTAAATTTATTTTTTTTTATTCTTATTTGTATACAAAAACCATCGTATACTTGTAACGTTTAACATAGACCTATCTTGAGTACTTTCATGTAATTTATTGTTATATAATTAGTAATGAATACATTCAGGGTTACAGTGACCATCTAACGATGATTGGTTTGTGTTGCTCCTCCAACTAAACATATTACCTTTAGCTTTTTTTTCAGTAGCTAATATCTGGATAAGATTTTAAACTGCCTTTTTGACTGTTCATCGTGCTTGCCATAAACCGGACTTACAGAAAACCAGAATATAAAAATTACCTCGTAAATATGTGATACCAAGGTGACGTTTCATAACAGATGATGGTTTGAACAGGAACTCAACTAATCATCTACAGTTATTTGAAATGAATGTAAAAACTCATTTATGGAAAAAAATAAAAACATAACAGTGATTAAAGACAAAAACAAATCATATTATCAGAATATGTAAAAAGTGAATCCGGTATTCATCTCCAACTTTGTCGCACTTTAAATCAAACTTGGGTATTTGGAACTATTTTGAAAAAGTGAAGAGTATGTTATAATCGTTTGGTGATATAGTCTGCCATCATATTTCCTGAAATAACGTTCAGAAATCAATTTTTTTTCCCTCAATAAAGCTGTGTACAACTGACGTCAAACATTGGAGGCTTTCTTAGCTTTACTGCATTCAAATGCACATGTATGTGATATGATCAAAAGTGTATTTAAACAATTATTTTTGTTGTTTCTTGTGATCGTTGTCTTGAATTATCAAAACGTCATCATTTCGGGTCAAATGTTAGCCTTCCTTCAAGATATCCATCGACTTGTTCACACGTGCATTAATTTGTTTATTCACCGCACTCTGACGTCCGTTATCTGTTCATGATTAGAAACACATAAATGATTGTCAGTGATAAGGTATTTTTTCCTGCTTTATCACGTATATACGGAAGATATTTCATCGGTATGGATATTCCAAAATAAAATGACTATTCAATTCACAGTGACAAAAATGACGTTCTGTATCTCAATGTGACATGACTAATAAAGTAAAATAAAGCCAAGGATTATTTCTTCTGCTTTTTTTGGTACGGATTTCCAATTAGCTTGAAGTATTGCAACAAACCAACATTATCGGATAATCAACTGCTATGATGAACCG